CGGCTTGGACCTCAGCCGCGGGCCGGAGGGCCGAGAAGCCCTCCCCTCCTCCCCGTGACCGGGCGCCCGCGGCCAGCCCGTGCCAGCTCGGCCGGCGTGGTGGCAGGAGCGGCACGTTTGGCCGCCTGCGGAGTGCAGAGGAGCAGAGGAGGCCGCGCAGCCAGCCGGCGAAGTGCCGTTCTTTCGGGTTTCTTGGAAACAAAAATTGGAGCTGGGCACTCAGTTACCCGGTGGAGCGACCTTACTGTGGTCGAAGGAGAAATGTGAAATCCAGGCGGTGAGGGTAACTACCGACCAGACTGAAGTAGAGCCCAATGGAGTGAAATCTGGCCTGAGAATGAGCCATTCACACTTTGCCTTTACAACTGCTGCTGAAACGGAGTCGTTTAAAAATTGAAAACGAGATCTGATTATTTTGTGATATTACAGGTCTTGTTATGTTTTGGTTGCAGTACCTGTTGCTGGTAGAATAACTTTTTAGATTTGTAAGATTTGGTATAAACTTGGACTCAAGGTAAACTACAGTCGTGTGATTACAGAGCTATGTGTCTCACAAAATGCCTGCAGACTTACTGCAGTGTGGAAACTTGCAGATATAACCAGGCCAGATGTCAGCTATCACTCAAAACTTGGGTAGCAGAGAGCCCAGTAATACAGTGGTAGTAGGAAAAAATGAGAATCTGTCACATTTTGTGACCCAGAAAAGTGAAATGATTGTGTACCACACTGGCTTTAAAATTTTGTAAGTGCTTCACATCTCACTCAAGCAAGCCATACCAGGGAACTTTCAGTACATTTGTACAGAATTGGAATATTAAATAGATGGCCATTTAGCTGACTTTTAGATGAAGAAAAATTTCAGTTGTGAGCATTTTGGCAAAGTGCTTACTGGTAAAAGACAGTTTTTTATTCCACTGGGAAGTAAGACTCTTGCCCTACTCATCTGACTTTCTTTAAACAATTTCTTTAGTGGTTTTCTTTTGAAAAATGAAAGTGCAGTCTAGATAAGGCTACACAGAGGCGTCAAGACAATAGGAAGCAGATTTAAATTTAAAAGATGACATTTGAATAGGTAACTGATTCCTATTTCTGACCAAAGACTGACTTGAGTACCCAGGTTTACGAGGTTTTAAGTTACCGAAAGTGACTTTTAAGTGAAAAAAAATTTTTTTTAAATGTAGTCTACTGTATAGTTGTGCAATACTTTACAGTTACCAAAGAACTTTCTCATCGGCTATCTCTTTTGATATTTCACAACCACCTTGTGAGATAGTCAGGGAAAGTAGCAGTATAGATAACGATATAACCCCTTCTTGCAGAGTGGAAGCCTCATAACTACAGTGAATCATAGAATCGTTTGGTATAAAAGTAAGACATGTACTACAGGGGTACATGTGAGAAAATGAAAACTGGTTAATATCACACAGCTAGTGAGTTGCAGATCTCATCAATCCAAGTCTTTTTTTTTTAGACTTCATTGAGCTATAATTTAAATACTGTAAAATAAAAATGCATTTTAAGGGTACAGTTCTGAGTTTTATTATATGTATGCAGTTGTGTACCCTTGCTCCATTGAAGTTTTGAAACATTTTGATTTCCCATAAAGTTCCATCCTACTTGTTTATACACAGTTGGCAACTGTCTTGACCCAAGGAGTGACTGATCTACTTTCTTTCATACAGTTTTGAATTTTCTAGAATTTTTGAAGATGTAATACTACCATGTGTCTGGTTTATTTTTATTCGTAGTGGTACTTTTTTTCTTGTTGGATTTACTAGTAATTCCATCCACCCTTTTACTGCTGTGTACTATTCCATTGTTTGGGTATACCACATTTGTTCATACATTCACCAGTTGGTGGACATTTGAATTATTTCCAGATTTGGGCTGTTATGAACAATTCTGCTATAAACATTTCTATACAACATACTCAGAAATAGTTTCATTTATTTTGGGTGGTTATGTAGGAGTAGGGTTGCTGGATCAAGTACTAAAGTGTTGTGTTTTAACTTTTTAAAAAATTTTAAAACTTTTGTAAAATAGGTGTCCTATTTTGTGTTCTTAATAGCATTGTATGAAGGTTTTAGTTGTTTTGCAATCACTTCCATACTTTATTAGTTTCTTTTAAAGAATAAAGACATTCTTTATTGTGGTAAGAAATCTGTAACATAACAATTACTCTCTTACCTATTTTGAATCTTTTGCTAGGAAACAGAGTGGCATCACATTGGGGTTTTAATTTGTATTTGGCTAAGGTAATGTTCAGCATCTTTTTATGTAAGCCAGGTTTTTGAGTAGACTAAAGTGTTTTGTCTTTTTGAGACAGGGTTTCATTGTGCAGTTTAGGCTGGCCTTGAACTCTCTTTGTAGCCCAGGCTGTCCTGGAACTCCCAGAGCCTTCTGCCTCAGCCTCCCCAGTGCTGAGATGACAGGTGTGTGCCACCACACCCGGCCTAAATGTAGTTTTTATTTCAGTTAACCATTTACTTTTTAGAATCCTTATTTTGTTTAGTTTTTGTTCTAGTCAGCTTAAATTTTACTTTGGCAACTAACTGTAGCTCTCTGCTTAGGGAGATCTGCCTAAGGAGATGTAGGGTGACTAGTACATTCGGCCTGATGGTGATAAGCCACAATAGGCCTCTAGGGTAGGACATAGTTTTGGTAAAGAAGCTATAGGAGTCTTTCAGTATTGTCTTTTATGGTTACCCTATTGGAAAAGATGGCTAGAGATCTTCCCTTCAGTCTTTACCTCCTTACCCAATAGATTTCTTTGTGCTTAAGTTTTTTGAGACGAGTTTTAAAAATAGCATAGGTAGGCCATTTTATTCAGACACTTAGAGAATTGAAACAATAATTTATGTTAATATGAGAAAGAAGGTGCTGTCTAGAAGATACCGCTTTATGTTTTGTCCATCAGGCCACTTTCCTCATTTCTTTTGTTTGGGTCTTCACACTAAGCTACATCCCCAGCCCTTTTTATTTTGAAGGGTCTTATCAAGTCACTAAGTTGCTCAGGCTGGGGTTGAACCTATGATCCTGCTGCCTTAGTGTCCAAAGTGTACTCCATCACAGCTGTCTGTATAATGACTTTCTGCCATCACTTTTGCCTTTCCCTAAACCAGTCCCAACCCTTAATACTTTTAAAAACAACAAATTCTTAACAAAATTTAAAACTCTTCAACTTGGGGAGTCAGTCTTCTGTAGAGTTATAGATGGTATTATGACGTCAGTTCAGATTCTGGTGTGAATGGTATTTGCATGTGTAAGTTTGGGAAGCATTGTCATGCAGTCAGTAAAGGTGGGGTGTCTGTGGGTGTCTTTGTCTCTTGGTTCTGAAATTAAACTCCTTGCTTTCCAAAACACTTCTGGCACTTAAATGCTGAATACTCACCGATTGTTCTCTCTTAACATCATAAATTCAGGAATAGTGCTTCTGGTCGTCCTTTCTCACTTCACTTCATCTAAGAGAGAAACTCTGTAGTCCAGGATTTCCAGCTGAAGTCCCAAATTCCCTGCTGTTTGTATCACCGCTGAATTTACTCATAATTACTCATGCCCTGATTGGCAAAGGCCTAGGTTCTGGCAGCTACCATATTGAATAGGGTGGAGTTTCTCTGAGGTGGTAGAGCTGGACCTAGTAATGGTCATTCTCACCCAAAATGCTGGTTGGAGTGGGGTGGTAGATGCTGGAAAAATAGTGCTAACGTCTGTTGTGTCTACTTTATCAGAGTTGTTTTGAGGACTAAATGGTATGGCAGGTACTTAAATGTTAGCATTCTCACACCTCCATACTCCCTAGTTTCTCCTTTCTAATTGCTTTTCTAGTTTTTGTTTCTCTGAATGTGCAGTCTGATTTGCACTATTTGATCTTTCTTAAAAAAATAAAATCTGTGATGGTTGCAGTACTTCTTGCTTTCTCTCTCTCTCTCTCTCTCTCTGTGTCTCTCTCTCTCTCTCTCTCTCTCTCTCTCTCTCTCTCTCTCTGTCTCTCTCTCTGTCTCTCTCTCTCTGTCTCTCTTTGTGTTTTGGTACCTGGAATTGAACTCAGGACCTTGTGCTTGCCAGGCAGGTGCTGTGCTGCTGAGCTGTATCTCCAGCCCCATGTTTTCTTTAAAGTTCCAATACAACCATATTTTCCCTGTATTTCCCCATTGTGGCAGTTGTTTTTATCCCTTCCCCTCTTTCCTTTTCCTTACCCTCTACTCTTTTCCCTGCTAGGGATTTCACCCAGGGCCTTGCTGGGTAAGTACTGCACCGTTGGACTATAATCCTCAACTCTTGGTAGTTATTTTCTTGTCTTGCAATTGCATTTTTATGTATTCATGTCGTTCACTAGATTTTCATTCAGATTTAGCCCTGCTAAATATTTGAACAAAATCAGTCACTTAAATCAAAAAAGTTCTGGTTGATTTCACAAAGGTGTTCCTGTTCTGTTTCTATCCCAGAAGATAGTTGTTGAGTGATTTAAGCAGGTTTTACTTTGACATTATTGTTTGGCAATTTGAAGGATGATTTTATTTATTTTTTCTTTTT